CGAGTTATTTTTGGAATTGCTGTACCCAATAAACTTAACGATCCTGAGCTAATTCCCCCCATTCCAACTGATTAGCGAAGATTCGATCTCTAACGCTTATTAAAGGTATCTGCAAGGCGAACAAAAATTCAAGCCTCCGAGCGAGACTAATGAACCACATGCTCATTCATACTGTAAGCAACCCTTCTCTTCTCTGAAACAAGTAGAACTATTTAGAAAAATTCGCAGGGGATATAATCTAGCAATTATCTCCCACCTCAAGACTTCGGAATTCTACGGTTGTATGTAGCAACTACACTCCCACATAATTCATATCTCCTTCTTGAATTTTCTTGTGATTTTGACAAAAATTTAATTCGCCTACAACACTCAACTTGCCTAACAAGGACTGGTGCAGAGCCACGACGTAATGGTCACATCGCACACTTGAGCAATTGCTTGCATCGACTTTTTACGTCATTGTGGATGCACGCGACCGTTTGTACGGACCTGTAAACAGTTTAAACATCCCTATGGGGAAGTTTAAACCAACAACACAACAAGGTCCTAAGAATAAAAATGTTTGGGGAACAAACTGGTTCCGTCCGTAGACTTTGAGCATGTGGCTAGATTCCAACTCGGACAGGAGGGGTCTGAATCGTACTGAAATTCAAGTTGTCAGCGCGCCAACCGCACACAATATCGAAACTTAACAAGCCTAACAAAACTCTTCACCGCTGCAGTCAACACCCGAAGCTTCTTTCCTCTTCCTAGAATACGTATGCTGTAAACGAAGTAATTCATAAATTTATTTCAAATCATACAACAATATATACACACCCATCTGGCACTACCCGCGAAATTGATATGTTTAGAAAAAAAAATTGCGTACAAGATGGGAACAAAGAAATAACAAATAACGACACTTGACCAGTCATCCTGAGCAGGATCGCCGTTGTGTCATGAGGTGGCTGAATCGCTGAGGTACACATTTCTGATCTAAAGCCAAAGAAAATGGAACACTACATAAACAGCAAAGTACACTCTAATTCTTCGATTAACCTCTAACGTTCACCGAACGTCCACATACACGAACAAAGAAGTCATCGAGGCCGAAGGGGTCCTCGTCCTCGTTTCGGCAGCACCGCTTGCTGGGGGGTTCACCATCAAAAGGATTCTGAACGATAGGTTCAACTCGAGTAATAGGAGCCCCGGAGGGCTCAGCATCACCCTTGTTTTGCCTAACGCTTCGCTTACCGCCGCGTTTGCGGCGACGAGCTCTACGCTCACCCAAATGCTTACACAAAGACTGGATGAAGCCTGTCTGGAGCAGCTCGAGTCGATAGTCACGCTCTTTCTGACCGAACAACGCACGCCGCTTCTGGATCGCAATAGCTAACAACTTCGTCGGCGACGTCTCCATTTGAACATAGTCATCTTCGCTAGACGATGAGCTTGGAGATGAAGAATAAGCATGGAAGTGCATCTTCAATTGGATATGGTAATAGGTGTACGACGGAAAAGGAACGCACGATACAAACCAAAACAGTGGCGACCGCACGCTCACAGCACAAGAGAGGGAATGATTCTCCACTATGCCACGCCCTCCGCGTTATGGCCGGCCGCGTACGCCGCTGAATCCGCCCGCCCACATGATCGACGATGAGCGCGCACATAACTTCTTGGAACTTCTATTGAGTAGTTGCAGGGTCAAAAAGTAATTTCTCGTAATTTTTGCTTATAGGAGCATGTGCTGTACATGAATTGTAGAGATCATGAAGATCACCCCACTAGTAATAAAAGTCGATAAAAGCTGTAGATAGTCACGAGAAGGTGTAGCCGCGTCGCACTCAAGGCATTTTCGAAAATATCGATTTGGCTGCGTCGGCCGGCGTTGCTGACTCACTTAAAGATGATTTTCGAAAAGGGGTGTGGAGGAGGGGGGTTTCTGCTTGGTGGTAAGCTAATGTGGCGAAATCTCGAACTTGGTACTTGTGCCATTGTGGTAGAGCAGAGCAAGGAGATTTCGTTGGGAAAAATTCCGTCATCGTTGCTAGCTTGCTGGAGCCTGAATAGAACGGCCATACTTTTTCGTGAAAACAATCACAAAAACCAAGAGGGACTGAGTTTATTATACTGAACCTAGAGTAAGAAACACACCAAATCTGATAACAATAAGTTCCAGCATAAATGGAGAAAGATAGCTATTTGCCAGCCTTTCTAAGCCGCAAAGAAACGTTCAATTTCCTAGCCTCTGTATGAAGCCCATGAGGAAGGTTACTCATAGCATTACTTAGCACGATAGGAGTCAAAAATACTTCTTTAGTTCACTTCTAAACAGACGTCGAGTCCAGTTACCTGAGCTACCGTTCCGCTACGACGAACAAACTTGTTCCCTAGTTGACT